TAAAATGTCCTGAGGGTTACAGTTTTATTTAATACTTTAACTAATATAATTAGTTAGATAATATTATAAATAATATTATATAAAGACATCAGAGAATTTTCATTYCATTCAAAAATGGTTGAAATGGGCGCGCATCTGTTATCACTTTTGTTGTTACCACAACTGTGGTACCTGTTATACCATTATACTCCATCATTTCAAAACACATTATTTTGTCTGAATGTTCGATTCGCATGGCTCGCCTGTAGTAGACAGTTGTAGTAAATTAGTAGTGAGTAGTCTGTACGTTATCTTATGCTGCAGACCTGAAAATATATACACTGTACTTTTTGTTTTTGATTTAGCATTGGCCATTGATATAAATTGATCTAAACAAAATTTAGTAAGTTTTTAGCTTATGGTTTACAATTAATTAAATACTCTTATTTCTTAAATTACTGATGTTTAGATATTAAATTTTTTAAATATGGAAAGTAAAGTGTGTAAAGTAATTAACGCTAAGAGAATCCACAGTGACGACGATGACGATAATAGAACTTCAAAACAAACCAAGAAGAACTCTAGTAGAGATCATTCATCAACGAAAGATAAATATGACAATGCTGGTAGTCGTAATTATGAAGAGTTAAAAGTCGGTGATCCATACTACTCGGGTGGAACTGCTACTGATACCAAACGTAAAGTTGAGGATCGGTATAAGGATGAATCTAGACATAGAAGACGTCAGAGGACTAGAGATTGTCAAGAAAAAGAAAACAGATTTAGAAATGCAGACAGCAAAAAAGAGGRAAAAATCGGTGCTCCATACTATTCTGGAGGAATAGCAGGAATCGATGAACGYGAGAGTGGTGAAGAAACAAGCAATGATGATGATGATGATAAAATTGGTCAACGGTACTATTCCACAGAAACTGATACTCAAAGAAAAAATAGTGAAAACTATTGGAACAAATATGCAAACAAAGATAAAAGGCAAAACGTATGTGTATAAAACTAATGTAATAATAATCGTGATAAATATGAATAATACTTTTCTTTTTCCAGGGTGATCTAAATGATGTACCATTACATCAGAAAAAAACTGTGGAATTACTTACTTCTAAAACTGGAGGTGCTTACATTCCACCTGCAAAATTGAGAATGATGCAAGAAAGTATCACAGATAAGTCAAGGTGCTTGTTTTATTTAATTATTATATTTTCAAAAATTATAAGGAATACATTTATTAGCTATAGATATAATTATTATATATTATAAGAGGGCTATCTGTGCATTAGCCATTAGGTTTTGTTTTTACAAAAATTTATTTTAGATTTATAGCAGCAATAGGTATAACTATAAAATCTAGATATTTTATGCTTCCAATAAATACATTATTGTTATCTATGTGAGTTCAAGCTAAGTAAGTCTCAAATCTGCAAAATAAAAATAAAAATACTACATTTTATTTATTAAGTTAAACAATTATATAACAATACATTAGATAGTATTTYTCAATCACCATCCTAATTTTAATATGTGTGGTGTGTATCTATGATAAGGAATAACTATTGTGTGAACTATTATAAAATATTATAATAGTATCTAGTTAAAATAAAATTATTGATAAACATTTCACTTAAGAGGAAATTATACCCGCATGTGTTGTCTCCGTCTTGTAAGTACGTAACATAGCAAATTTTACACTCGGCAGATTTAATTTTGTTTTGTTAGTTTTAAAACTAGAGCTAATTCACCTCTTATTAAAGATACKAGTATTATTTAGTCGACCTTATAGACTTTATTATATTTTAATTTTGAAGTGAATTATAAATATTTTGAAATTGTAAATTGTTTGTAGATACATCTTGAAATACTTATAAGTTATAACATAGACAGAGATAACATATGCGGGTATAACTTCCTCTTAAAATATGAAAATAACAATATTTCTAGCTCTAGCATTAAACATTTCTATATTTTTTAATAATTATATGTTGTTTAAAGATTTTTAAAATATGTTTATAACATTTTTCTAATCACAATATTAAATTTTGCATTTCATAAAATAATTTTTTATAATAATTTTATAATTGGTAATTTTAGTGCTGCATATCAAAGAATTGCTTGGGAGGCATTGAAAAAATCAATACACGGTTTAACTAACAAGATTAATGTAGACAATATAGGAAAAGTTACTAGAGACTTACTACGAGAAAATATTGTTCGGGGTAGAGGTTTACTATGCCGGTCTATTATGCAAGCTCAATTAGCTTCAACAACTTATACCCATGTGTATGCTGCTTTAGTGGCCATCATAAATACAAAAGTAATTACACTTATTAAAAAAAAAAAAAATATTAAATCACTTTACACATAATTTGTTAAATAACGATTGCAATAAAATCTTTTTAGTTTCCAAACATTGGAGAATTACTATTGACAAGATGTATTGTACAATTTAAAAGAGCATATCGTAGAAGTGAAAAATCTCAATGTTTAGGATCAGTAACATTTATTGCTCATTTGATTAATCAAAGTGTTGTAAGTTTTAATCTTTTAATTTTTTGTTGAACAATAATTATGACTACTAATTTTTTTTTTGTATTTTAGGCACATGAAATATTGGCTTTAGAGTTATTAACTTTATTTGTAGAGACACCTACCGAAGATTCAATAGAAGTAGCTGTAGCCTTTTTGAAAGAATGTGGACAAAAAATGAGTCAAGTCAGTAAAAAAGGAATGAATGCCATATTTGATATGTTACGCAATATATTACATGATGGGAAACTTGATAAAAGGGTAAATAAATACATATTATTATTTTTATTATTTATTTATTAAAACACTAAGTTAAATGTAGATTTAAAACATTATTAAAATAAACATAGAATTGTATAAAACAAATTTCATACAATTTTAATGCAAAAACCAAGGATCAAAMAATCACATTTTAATACCAAATTAATTGTTATTGTGGAGAGAACTCATTAAAAATGTATCTTCATTTAAAGTAAAAGCCTTGATAAAATAATTTTCGTTGTAAAAACACAAAACGTGAATCAATGTAATATGTTGTATGAAATTGTATTATTAACTCATACTTTTTAGAGTTCACGTTTATCGCCGAACGTGAACAGACGTCGTTATCTTTTGCACACTTTACTAATGAGCTTAACTTATTAATGTTATTCAAAACATGTCTCGGAATACCTCGAAATGCAATTTATCTTTATCATAATTTCCACTAACAAAATCTAGCTGAAACCGAAGTAAAGTATTCATCACGCCGAATCGCTATGCTTCACTCTCCCAGGACAACGCTTTTGATCAGGAGGTGCATAGCCCTCCCTCTATCGCAATACTTTCTAAAAACCAGTGCAACACACTGCCCAGCCACAAGGAGTCCTCTCCAAGTAAAAATTTTTATTTGGCACCTCCTTTTYATTTAAGCAGTGGCTACGATTTCAACATGCTCAAGAAATCTCTTCTTGACTTTATCATTACTTCAGGTATTAATTTTAAAAATACCTCATAGCATCTAATTATCCACACCGACAAAGTCGCCAATTATAATTTAGTTTATACGTAAATACCTTACCGCTAATAATAAGATTAATTTCCAYACTTATCTGCCTAATTACATGAAACCATATATATACAAGCTAGCCTAATTGATATGGGTCACAAAGTTATTCGGGTTTCTAATATTTTACATTGTTCTATCACTCAAATACTGCTCCCTCTTTTTCGTATTGATTTAAAAGCTGCTAAAAACAATAGTGATATTTTCAAATTAGATCTGCTCATTCCCACCAGAATCAAAATAGAGGTGCCMAAGAAAAAACTCTCCCCTTCACAATGCCATGATTGTCAAGCTTATTTTCACGCTAGTAATTTTTGTCACCAGTCCCCATGTTGCGTCAAATGTGGAGATAATCATTACATGGTCGGTTGTATCAAATCACCGTCAGAACCCGCCTAGTGTCTCTTATGCTTGGGGCCACACACAGCCTCATTCAAAGAATTTCCCGCGCTTAAAAAACTAAGTGAAAACCGCAGAAAATCTTGATTACTCAAACCTTATCGTCATCTGACGCTCACACTATATCGTCTATAAACAAATCAACCTCYAGCTTCAACCAGAAACAAAAACGTTCATACGGCAAAGTTACTGGCAACACTTCACCCCCAATAGTTACACCTGAAAGTTTGATCTCAAAATTTCTTGAGGACTTTAAAGTCACAATTAACCMTTTATTACTTTTATTAACTATAGTTGTTAATCAACTAATCCCACCTTCTCTTCCTATATTTTCTCCTTAAAAATTATGTAATACTTTTATTTCAAATTATGTCGATACATTATATTATATGATACACATTTTTGTTTCTATTTGTAATTGTTAAGATATAATAATTCATAATTGTCGAGACTAATTATAAACAAAAAAAACTCATATTTTGTTTTTCAGGTGCATATTTTTGTTTAATTGAACACTTAACCGCATGCTTGTTTGGTAATTATTTTCAGATTTCTTTAAAATGTTATAGGTTCAATATATGATAGAAGTAATGTTTCAAGTACGCAAAGATGAATTCAAAGATCACCCAGCTGTAATTGAACAACTTGATTTAGTACCAGAAGAGGATCAGTTTACTCATTTATTAACCTTAGACTCTGCTAAAGATCCTCAAGATATTCTCAGTAATTATACATTTATTTTGAAATAATATTTTATTTGAAAAATTTGTTTTTTTTAGATGTATATAAATTTGATCCGGACTTTGAAGCTAATGAAGAACGTTATAAATCATTAAGAGCAGAAATATTAGGGTCAGACAATGAAGATGATAGCGATACAGAAAACGATGGTGATAATGATGATGATGATGATGATGATGATGATGAAGAAGATGATGGTGAAGAGAAAGGTACAATTTTATTTTAATTAAAATCAACTGTATTATTTTTTAGTGATATAAAATAATTACCATTTTATATCTAAAAACATTTAAAAAATATGCTTAATGTTAAAATTTTATTCATTTTAATAAGTTATTGAAATTTATAGTTATTTTTTAAGTTTTATAAGTACATATTTTGAACATTCAATAATCTAAAATATGTCTGTTGAATGAATTGAAATAACCCATCTTATTTTATAATTAAAGAAAACATTTTTTTA